GGGGGGGGGGGGGGGGGGGGCAATGCTCGTTAACATTTTGCTGTATAACGGGTACTTCATTACTTGTACCTAATACAGTTAGACAAATTTCGGCATAGATTGGAAAATTTTTATTCGTTGCATGACACTAAAGACTAAAATGTATTGTAAAGCAACATGACAGTTATCAGTTATTTAGGAAGGTTTCCTTTTTTACTTTTTTTCATATTAGGTGGAAACTGATTCGTAACGTTTCTGAGAGGAATTCAGATTCAAATATGAGCTAAATTGTTTAAAAACAGTTTCAATTTCAATTCATGTGAAAAACGCATGACGTTCGAAGTCCAGTTTTGGTAAAGAGGAAACCTGCTGCCCCCGTGCTGCCCCCGCACTGTTTAGGCAACGGGGGCAGCTGCCCCCGTGGCTCCGGCGCCCCTAAGTATTTCGTCGCGAACACTATACTCTGAAGACAGTTACAAGAAGTTTGCGACAGTTACGACCATATGGAAACCAAGCTTAACTCTTCAAGCGCCATTTTAGGTGGTGTAGTTTTAACACAAGTCAACATCTACAATCATCAATTACTACAACTTACAACGACAACGTCCATAAACGTGATCAACAACAACAGCATTTGTATGTAATTGCCTTCTTTGCCTAATTTAACAAGAATAAATATGCTACAAAATCGGGTCGCACTGGGAATTCGGTGAAAAACTATGAATATATCGGTTATTTTGTCGTGAATTTTATCAGTTTTGGTTTGTGGAAACACGACGTAAATCTGTATTATTTGTATATAACTTTCAAATTCAATCCGCAATTTATATAGCTTTCAATCGTTCCAGAAAAACAGAAGTGATATTATTATTACTATGCATTTGCAATATCTATCTCGACCCGCAATTATTAATTATCAATTGGTTTCTATTTGGTCAATTTTGCTTGGAATGATACAAAATTGATGTTATATTAAACAAAAGCTGAAACACTGAAGTTTATAAATACGAAAAAAGTAAATTCATAAATTGAATTGAGTACACACGAGAACGCTAAATTTGGATTACCTTTTTGGATACACCTGTGCATAAAGTAAAACTCTACTCCTCACTTGCAATGAAAGCATGCATGCATGGGCCTTAGAAAAGGCGAAAATGAAGCAATGCAATAAAGTGAGTGATATTGGCATAAACACAAACGAAAACATCATTGTTAACTGATCTTAAATGTTTAAAAAGCATGTTTAAATTTGGTTCTTATTGACCATGACTTAGGGACTGATTATATGGAGGCGAGTTACCCGGCTAAGCGAGTTCAAAACTGCATATAATCATAGGCGTACTGGGCGGGGGGGCGGGGGGGGCGGCAGCCCCCCCCCAGTTTTTTGGGCAGTCGGGCAATATTCGATCAACAGTCGGGCAATTTTGGCTTGCAATAAAAAAAAATGTGACAAATTCTGCAAATTTTGTGTAAAATTAAGTCAATTTTTGGCAAATTTTGTGATTTTTCAAAAATTTTGTGTATGTTCCGAAAAATATTGGTTGTCCGGAAAATTTTTTTGACCGAAAAGTCGGGCAATTTTCTTTCCGCCCCCCTAATTTTTTTCTTCCGGTACGCCCATGCATATAATGAAAGACTAATGAGGCTATGCCCTTGATTGTATGTGCTTTTCAACTCGCTTAGCCGGGTAACTCGCATTCATACAATAATAGCCTGCGTGCAGCCTGACTTTAAATGGGGAGAAGTCAGTCTGTGAATACGGGAACAATACCGTGTTCACGCCATCTTTTGAATAGCATAGATTTCTGTATTCAAACGTGATTGGCTATTGCTCAGAAGCTTAATACACGCGCTACGATTGGCCAATTCGTTATTATATTTAGTTCAAACAACATTCCAGAATGAAAAAATGGCGAACAAAAACAAGAAGAGCACTGTTAGGTGTAATTTATGCACGAAACCCATACAAAAGATATGAAAGGTTTCTCATTGAGGGTTCTTAAGTTGTCATTTTGCTAAATATATTATTTTGTTGAACTGAATATATTAATGAGTTGGCCAATCGTAGCGCGTGTATTAAGCTTCTGCGCAATAGATAAATCACGTTTGAATACAGAAATCCATGCAATTCAAAAGATGGCGCGAACACGGTATCGTTCCCTGATTCGCAGACTGACTGCTCCCTATTTAAAGTCAGGCTGCACGCAGGCTATAAAATAAGGGCCTTAAGCCTGGTGCACATATGCCTTCGGTATGCCTGCGCAATCATTCTTCATAGCTGTGATGTGAGTGCATTTTTTCGCGAATTATTTGCTTGAACTGCTAACGACAATAGCCCACCGATTGATATATCGAAGGTGTATGTGAACAAGGCTTAAAGGCACAATTTAGCCCTTTGAGTGGTGGGTTTTAAGGCGCATTACAACACTTTTCATTGAAAAACTAACTAGGAAAATCAATTAAAACATAATTCAAGATCAGTGATCTCAATGTTTTTAACATTTTTTAACATTTTTTATGTTAAAAACATCAATGTTTTTCAGTTATCTTGAATTATGCTTAATTGATTTTCCTAGTTAGTTTTTTCAATTAATTTAAAAGGGTTGTAATGCGCCTTATAATAACCATCATTCAAAAGGTTGAACTGTGCCTTTAAAGATTATTTAAGAAAACTGCTGTAGCTGATCTTTGTCACTGTTGCAGCTTATTTGGATTAGGCCATAAGCCAAGGTCGAAAAACCCCCAAAATTAAACACAACATTTGAAAATCACCATATATGAAAACAGATCCCACTTCAGCGTACGTTTCAAGTCAAATTAACGAATATTTTCTTCCTAAATATATGATACACTGTACTGTAAGTTTTCAATAAACAACTTAATATTTTCTTGGACTATTGTGTTTTATTACCCACGTCTCGTTTTCAGCAATTTCTTGAATGCATTTGCACTACGTATGTTTGCTCAGCCGTTTGGAAACGTATCTTAGTTCATATTCACGTTTAGGGAAAATGTTTCATGGTGTTGATAATTTTTCTTCTTTATCTTCAAGATTTTGATAAAAGCACTTCGGAATCTGGAAGACTGCATTGCATAACACAAAAAGTTTAAACTTGAATTAATTGCAATTGGAATGAAGACCAAATCATAAAACCAATGTCGAGCGATACAACCGCACGATTCACAGAAGATGAGGAGATAAATGAACAGAGTTGCAGGACCATAGCAACAGAACATGGCGATAAGGACCACAAGGAACATTTTGGTGACTTTCTCTTCCATTCTATTTGTGGTTGTGATAATTTGAATCATTGAGTTGGGTGTAGTTGGATTGTTTGGTGCCGTTGACGAGCTTTGAGATATGCCTTCGTTATGGTTGGTTATTGTCTGAGATTGTCTTTTGATTTTTTGCCACATTAACGTGTATGTGAAGCACGTTACTGGAATTGCCAAAACGACCAATGCGTTAGCGAAGACGAATGAGTATAGTATGTATCCAACTTCAAAATATGTATTTGGTAAAGTCAAAGAGATCAACCAAATTACAGCCACGGTGAATAAAATTCGTTTATTAGTCATTTTGTTACGGTATGTGGTAGGCTTTCTCACTGCCAGGTATCGTTCAACAGCCAAACTTGCAATGCTTAGAGATGAAGCCGTACATGAAATGAAGTAACTCATATTAAGCACATTCACATCCGCATCAGTAATTTTCTTGCCAAGGCAAAGTTTGAAATGAAGACTCGCCGAGAGAGGGTCTGTGATGGTTCCAGCAATTAGATCAGCCGCTGCCAAATTTAGAATTAACCAATTAAACGGCGTTCGAAGATTCTTGTTCGGATCTAACGCAACAGCTAGAATTATGAGGATATTCCCAAGAATATTGAAGAAAGACAGGATAAGGGAAATGCCTGTTGTTAGGACAGATAGCGCCAGTGGAGCTTCAGAGAATGGACAATTATTTTCAAATTGACCATTGACTAACTGCATTGTCCTACAAAATATTGATAATTACAGCATGCATTAGTATCTGCAAAGGTTTCGTCCGCTATATATTTTGATAAAAGTAAATAAATACAATGCATGGGTCAGTCAAAGCTTTAAACAATAAAGTTTAGCTTTAAACAATAAAAAATAAAGATAAAAAAGTTGAACTGCTGCACGCGAAAACGTACATTTTTTAGCAAAATATGGCCAGGCCAAGGCTCTGCTTGGTTGCATGGGTAAACAGTAAAACAAACACGGTTTAACGTTTGTAACAATATATTTAATTTGTAAATGATAACATTGAATTACAAGTTAACTATAGTCATGACTATTAAGATTATAGTCATGACTATTACGACTATAGTCATGGTTATTAAGACTATAGTCATGACTATTAAGACTATAGTCGTGACTATTAAGCCTATAGTCTTGGACATTAAGACTATAGTCATGACTATTAAGATTATTGTCATGATTACTACGACGATCTGTTAATTACGGATAGAGAGGAACTATTTATTAAGCGCGTTTAGGCCTTAAAATAGGGCATCAGCGTAGCTTTGCGGGAATGAAAATTTAGTTCTAAAACAAGAATTGGCACAAGAATTTAGTTTTAAAACACATTTATTTCTTTAAAACGTACGCGCGTTTTCAAAGTTACGCTTTGAATATATATCTCACTTGTTTGAGACATTTCGCTAACCGACTCATCATAGTCACTGGTATTAAAAGGGCGAAAACCTAGTTTTGTGTAATATAAACTGTGTCATTTATTTGAAAAAATCAACCTCAAGATTCAGTAATTCCATAGACATGATTCTATTCAATGATTCCTAGTAAACAATGATAGCAATTGATCTGAAGGAATGCATGTATTGTTTGACACCCACTCGATCACGTTTCCGACCGTAAACTATTAAGCAGCCCACGTATCGAAAATTGTCAGCCACCTGCATGATTCCTCTTGGATGAAACAGGCTGTTGTGGAAACCTTTTGAGGTAAAACGACTATTTCTGCTCTATTTATATAATATCGAGCACTCTTTAGTAGGTCGTAAAACAAACCACATTCGAATATGTATGAGGGGTGAGGTGATATCAGGTTTATCCCTTGAGGGACGATATCATAAATGTCCCTCGTTTGCTGCGCTCACTCATGACATTTATGGTATCGTCCATCAAGGGATAAAACTGATATCACCTCACCCCGATTATGACAACCTGTTTATCACATACTGTACTTGTGCCTTTATCAGGGTTAGAATTTATTTTAAAAAAATCATTGCCCAATGCAAGAATTATTAGAAAATAGACTTAACAGATATAACTTGTATATAAACATATATATTTATAAAATAACCTTTTAAAACACGGGCGCTGATTGGTTAAAAGCCTGTTAAGACTTAAGTGCTGTCTGTTGTTTTGACAGCGATATACTTGTTTACTTGGCCATGCTTTAATTATTCTTTACACGAACGTATATTAAGATATAACTAATATTTGAATGAATGTAATTAAAATCAATAAACTTATCTTTTTTATTCTTTTTAAAAGGCTATTTAATAAAGGAATTAGAAAACATTTTTTCCGTGTTCCTATATAGAGTTTATAGAAACACTTGTGGAAGTTTGGGAGAAACTCCAAATTGCGTGGAAACACTCGCACTTCCTGCTCGTGTTCCCACGCAATTTCTTGCTTCTCCCAAACTTTCACGCGTGTTTCTAGGCCTTTCTATAACTCTCTGGCAACACAGAAAATGTTTTTTATTTCTTAAATATACACTTGAGAACATTTCATCCTATTATATCACCGCGTGGTTTCGAAGAACATATATGGCTTGCAGGGTTTATTTTAACGTGCACTTCTGCACAAAATGTGCAGTTCTAAGCCCAATTGTGCAGTTCTTAAAACACAAATGTGCCGTCACCAAACTAACAAAAATAGCCTTAATTAAAACAGTCTTCTCATTTACTCGTTACCCTTGTGGATGCTCCAGAAAATTCCAGAATTGCTGTCATTAATTGAGCATGAGAAATATAAACAGGTTTTTTTTTGGGGGGGGGTGGGGGGGATCCAGACCCTCCTATTTTCCTCACAAATCACTTTAATACGTGCTGGGGTAATGGGAAAGAAGGTAATATTAATGGAGCGAGCGAAGCTCCCCAAAAGAGATTAGAGTGGCAGAACCTAATATTCTTTGCTGCCTCAAATGCAAAGTTAAGGGTGTTTTCTATTGAATATCCATGATTCCCAGTTACATGTTTTGAAATATTTTAAAACAGTTTTCCCAGAACTTAAGAGCCTCTAGATTCAAATTGTTTGGGGGAACACCCCCTAGCTCCCGCACCCAAAATCGAGTTTGTCTCACCTTTCTCCAATTCTCCCACCATTATTCTGTCACCTATATGCGGATAAAAATCCTTCGAACCCCCCCCCCCCTCCCCAGTCAAACACCCGTTGCCTTCATAACATCCCTCGTGATATGTGCAGTTCTAAATTTTTCTTAAAATAAACCCAGATGGCTTGACATTTAGCTGGAAGGTTGGTATATAAGAGAATCATCCACGCTTTAATAAGAAAGGTAGAAGTTATCTCAGATTAATATACAAAACCGAAGTGTCTTGGTGGTTATTAGACAGCTTCAGGAAATACAAACGTGACGTCGACGAGGGCGTGAAAATGACGTTTTGTTTTTGAACAAGTGAATTTTGTGCATCATTCAGATGAAAACCCGAAATCTGCAGATATTGTTCACGACTTCATCACGTGCTCATGGAATTATTATATACCTCTAATCTTTTCTTTCTTTTAAAATTGTGTTGTTTGTAATGCAGTTTTTGTTCTTGAAAATGTGTGTTTTGTTCAGAAATAGAAGCAGTATTGAAGTGTATATATGGTCAACAATGTTTGCACTTTTGTTGTTTTGTTACGGCCGAGGTTATGGCGATGAAAGCACTTGGCAAAAATCAACCGGTTCAAACCTCAGCGAAATATAAGAAAACTGTTGCATAAATCATCGTCACAATGCTGAAAGACAAATGCGCCACGACACTATTACTGTTTACGCGAAGATTGAAACGGCAATATAGAACAGATGTTTACAAATTATTTGTTATATAAAATATATAAGTTTTTAAATTTCTAGTAATTTATCTCTACAATTAAAAAGTTGTTCGAAATTTTATCCTACCTTAATTGAATGTGTTCCTTTAATAGATAAAATATTTTCACAACTTACAAAAGGCCAGTTATATTTAACTGTACGTGCTTGGATGGTGTGCCGATATTTGAATATTAAAATTATTGAACGTTGACGCCCCTCATATACAAGAGGGACAATTGAGATGTCGAGTATTTTTTTGACAACATTCACACTACTTACCTAAATTCAACACCGCCGAAGAAAACGCATCTACGAATTCGAAAGTTCAGATTCTGGAAATTCAAACGACATGATCATACAAGAGATATTACTATATTCTACCTAATTTAAAAACGACTGAACATGCAGTTATATTGATTTTAGCGAAGGAAAAAATAAGATGAAAAATTACAAAACAACACAGCTGCCATGTATATATGAGAGGTGATTATTGCTGCCAAAATTAACAAGTGCATGTAATAAACATTTATGCTCGTACACATGTAAGCGTTTCATTAAATGCATATTGTATTCCCAATTGATATTCTGTCTTGCATATCGTAATGCTTGGAAATCTAACACATTGGTCATTGCATTATGTTATTGAAAGATGCATTTCGTGTTGATACTGTGTATTTCGATAATCGATTTCATTAGCTGCATGACGTAACATTGAGCCTAGCATTACAGTAGACGAAATTGGGTTCTGTAGCCTTGGCTGCATGGAAGCCGTAAAAACGGGAGTTTACATTAATTTTAAAGCTTAGACATTCAACTTATCAACGGTTGCACTGGAAAAAATTTTCAATATCCATACAAGGCCATAGAATGGAAATTGTATGGACCTTATTGGAAATAGAATTGATTTTGGTAATCCATAATAATTGCATGCATATTTCCATATACTATATGGATATAGTATCGAAATAATATGGATATAGCTACTATGGATTTAGTTGTAGATGCAATTGCAAATTTCATACAATAAATTTCACATTTTTTTCCAGTGTTGCATGGCGACTTTTTATATCGCAAATTATTTTATGTGATTGAGATTGGAGAATCAAAAATTTGAGAATGTAATCCCAAAACCATACTAAGTTACTTGGTCAGCAAAATGAACTAGGAAACCAAGGATTGTGTGAAAAGAGATTAGATTGGGAGAACCTAATATTCTTTGCTGCCTCAAATGCAAAGTTAAGGGTGTTATCTATTGAATATCCATGATTCCCAGTTACATGTTTTAAAATGTTTTGAAACAGTTTTCCCAGAACTTAAGAGCCTCTAGATTCAAATTGTTTGGGGGAACATCCCCTAGCTACCGCACCCAAAATCCAATTTGCCTGACCTTTCTCCAATTCTCCCACCATTATTCTGTCACCTATATGCGGATAAAAAATCCTTCGAAACCCCCCCCCCTTCAAACACCCGTTGCCTTTGTAACATCCCTATATGTGCAGTTCTAAATTTTTCTTAAAATATACCCTGGGTCGAATGAGCAAATCACCAGAACGGTTGCAAGCAGGAACTTAAAACGTTAAGAAGTAAACATTTAGAATAAAATTTAGAAACTTTTAAAGGGGAACTCCAGTCCAAATACAAGTATGGTTTATATGGAAGATCTTTCCCTTATTAGAATGTTCCTCAAGTATTTCGGTCTAAATATTAATAGTAAAGGAGAAATTGCTTGTCAAAGTTTGCGATTTTGTCAAATTTGGGCGCCATGTTGTTCTTTTCACTGCAGACTCAGATTTGTCCAGCGCCCTCATTTTTGACGTCATTGCGTGCTTCGAAGGTGTTGTTCGTATAGAAAACTATGGCTTTGTATGGCGATTTAATAAGACTATCGATTATTTCTCTGCTTCTAATTCTTTAATTAACGCGAGTTTAGACCGATTTAACAGAGATATTTTACAGACGGAGATATTTTACATTACCGAGCTTCTGACTGAGGTGAATCAAGAGTTCCCAGCCAATGCCAGGTCATGGTTGCTGGCGTAGATAATGTAGAAAATATACCGTATATGTTGCCCCTTGTGGATCTGGGCATCTGACTCTCGTTTGACTAGATACGTATTGTGCAAATTTGCGAAATGGATTTTCTTGTTCTGACTTGCTGAAAATATATCAATCGTAGTTAAAAACTTAAAATCGAATGGGCAAGGCTGATTAAACATCTAGCAATATACTGCAGTAGCGGAAAGTGAGCTTGTTGGTTACTACCTAGGTTCTGAGACTTCTGAAATAGTCTGTGACAGTGTTCTGAACCAAAAAATTCATAGGCATGTTGCATTTAAGATAGTTTATATAAAATAACAGTAAACTATAAACCTGTTACCATCGCAACATTTACTCATGAAGTATTAGATAAACATTTCTTGTGGGTTCTTACTAGTAACTTGACACTGTCGTGTATAAATAAAACCCATATTGAACCCAACACTACAACGAATGTTTAAAACCCTGTGCTAGCCTGTCTGTTATAAAACAATTCTTTTGTAAGGATTGTCTTTTTTTTAAAAATCTCATCGTACTTTATTTTAAATCGCATCACCTGAACTTCAGGTTACAGCCAACAGACAAATATATTTCTATAAACAGCTTGTCATGCGACATTGATAGTAGCCCAGCATGTAATCTGCCCTCAGAATTATCTAGGTAACAATATTTTGTATCATTGATGTCTAAATTCATTTGATATATGCAAATGCCTTGACGCAAACTCGCAAGTCAAAGAATCGCTAAAAGTAAGACGTCTATTTAATACAGTAATTGCACAATAAATAACAAAATGTTTTCAGCGACTGAAACTGCTTGTAGCAGTTCTGCTTCAAGCCCTAAATCAAGGACGGGGTGATTCAATTCGCAAACTTAAACAAATGATTAAAGACATGTTAGCAGTAAAAGATACCCATGCATGCATTCATACGAGTGACGACTCTCTCACCTCTCTTCGATTAAAATTAATATAAATCCATGGCCACGACTATATCTGTGACTTTCAGTGAAATACCCGATACCGCAATTAATCTTATTGCTAATGCTCACATACATGAGCAAACAGAAGTCGCATAAACCGATAAATCGTTGGTAAACGCAAACGCAGCACCGATATTCATGCAAATTGAATCCGAGAGTCCAACAAGAGCCAGATCCACACAGGGGGCAACAACCGCAACATATAATTATTTAATTCTGCGCAAGCTTTCCGTACACCAGCATGAACATGACCTGGCGACTCTTGATTCACCTCAGCCAGAAGCTCGTTAATGTAAAATATCTTTTTCAGAAAAATACATCTTTTAAATCGGTCTAAACTCACGTTAATTAAAGAATTAGAAGCAGAGAAATAATCGATATTCTTATTATTAAAATCGCCATACACTGAGCCATAGTTTTCTATATGAACAACACCTTCGAAGCACGCAATGACGTCAAAAATGAGGGCGCTGGACAAATCCGAGTCTGCAGTGAAAAGAACAACATGGCGCCCAAATTTGACAAAATCGCAAACTTTGACAAGCAATTTCTCCTTTACTATTAATATTTAGACCGAAATACTTGAGGGACATTCTAATAAGGGGAAGATCTTTCATATAAACCACACTTGTATTTGGACTGGAGTTCCCCTTTAAAGATCAACTAAGATAGCTCGCGGAATAAAATACCCCGTTGCGATTGTCAAATGTCAAACGATACATGAATTAGCCTGGCTATCGCAAATTATTTTGTGTGACTGAGATTGGAGAATAAAAAATTTGAGAAGCAATCCCAAAACCATACTAAGTTACTTGGTCAGCAAAATGAACTAGAGATCCGAGAATAGTGTTTACTAAGTTTCAAATTGAAAAAGACATGCATGCACTGCAAGAACTGTATAGGGTCGCCGACAACTTAGAACAGTAAGAGCAGGCACAGGCTAGAACAGGCATAGGCTAGGGTAGGCACGTTATTAAAAAAATGTGGATTAGGACGTTTTTAAGAGATAAACAATTCCTTATCACTCCCTTCGTAACTCGTTTATTAAATGTTGAATTGCAAGAGCTCTTATTTGGGCATGACGACTTTCTGTTCTGTAAAGCGGATGGCTTACGGCTATGAAATAAACAGTTACCATAGACATTCCATCTCATTGTCTATTGTTTTTAATGCGTTCGGCACGTGAGTAGGGCGACGTTGGAAAGAAGCCTATCACATCAGAAGCGTCGTGCCTCGTGGAACTGATACAATTTAAGTATTTATTGTGATGATACACGCGACAACTCGAAATTTAAATTGTTTCACCAACAACCAAATTTTGCATATTCTAAATGCAAATTCATTTGTAGCTGTCGCTAAAAGTATCCCCACGAGGCTACTGATATGCTAAACTTATATAAAACTATGATTATTCCCATCATCCCTTTAGCGCCTATATTGCACAATCATTTGACTATTGCCTCAGTGACAACTTTAATCGAAAAAGTTGCATAATATATGTTATAAATAATAAGCACTAGACGTTGCATCCATTACGAGAAAACATAAATCGAAAACAAAGAAACGTAAAAAAGAGGCGAAAAAACTCGTTCATTAAAAGAACGCATTTTATCCCCATTCGTTCCGTTCCGCATTTTATCCCCATATCCATTCCGTGGAACCGCTTCGTCAGCTTCCGAATTTTAACCTAATTGTGACATGTTTCCCAATAACAAGTCTCATGATAGCAATTGAAGGAATGCATGTATCGTTCAACGCCCACTCGTTCACGTTTCCGACCGTTCGAAACTGTTACAGCTTTAGAGAAAACTCGGCCTGTTTTTTTACTCATTATATTAGCCCGCATGCAGTGTCTACTCGCAGCCGGAAATTCAATCTGTGAGCTGACAACAAAAATCGCAAACACACAATAGGCTTTTTTATTTGTATTTATTCACAAACAAACACATCTATGTAACCCCTAAGTGCAATTAAATCGTCTTAATTTCTTTGCTTGAGTGAGTGCTTCAAAATCGTGGGCAAAGTTTACACCTAGAAAAAAGTAAGGAAAGATGTTTAGCAACCTGCGATCAGGTCCTCCAAATACAACCACTGAATCAAACCATTGCCACAAAACAGAGACAAACAAAAGACCGACTTTTTGGTTTTTCCTATGATTTTGGCGTAGCCACTGCACGAGAAACATTCACCGCCTTATAATATTCCAAATTGCGGACCTCCGGGAGGTGAATGTATATCATGTTGCGACGTTTTCATCAAGACGAGTTACAGGCTATACACAATATCTGAGTGTTTGTGGATGAGTACAAAAGCTGAAAAACGTACCCGACTAAGTTCGTAGATGTACCCGTGTTTGCCTGTTCCAACGCAGATTGGACTCCTCTGGCCATGAATGCAAGTGTCGTAGTTAGGACGTTTTCCCCAGCATGCATTTGCTCCTGCGTGAGGCTGGTTCACATTAAAG